GACCCCCTAGAGACCCGCCCCTCTGGCTCCACCCCCACAGCGCGCAGCCACGCCCCCAGACCCCCTAGAGACCCGCCCCTCTGGCTCCACCCCCACAGCGCGCGGCCACGCCCCCAGACCCGCTAGAGACCCGCCCCCTCTGGCTCCGCCCCCGCAGCGCGCGGCCACGCCCCCAGACCCCCTAGAGACCCGCCCCCTCTGGCTCCGCCCCCACAGCGCTGCAACCCCCCGCCCGGCGCCCCGCGGGGGCTCCCAGGGGCGGGGCCCGAGGGAGCCCGGGCAGGGGGCGGGGTCCGGTACCTCGGGCCCCGCCCAGCGCCGCCGCCGCCAGGAGCAGCGCGATCCCCGCCAGCGCCATCGCCGCCCGTGGCCGAAGAACCGGGGCCACCGCCGCGGAGGGTGTCGGGAAAGCGCCTTCCGCCGCCAGCCAATCAGCAGCGCCCCCAACGCGCCACGTGACCCAGAGCGGACGTGGCCTTAGCGCTCCCGGGGAGAGAAAATGGCGGCCGGGATTTATCTAGCGCTGGGCGGAGCGAGAAGGGACGCTGGGTGACCACGGGGCCTGCGCCGAGCTAGCGCTCGCGAGATTTCCACGGAGACTCAGGAATAAAATGGCCGCCGAGACTTATTTTGCGCACCCGCGAGTGAGAAAAGGCGCGGCCCCGTCAGTGCGCACGTGCGCTCCGCCTTCTCGCGAAGCCTCCCTACCAATCACAGACACTTCCAGGGACAAAATGGCCGCCGAGACTTATTTGCCCCCAAGGAGCGAGAAACAAGCCAAAGGGCCGTCAATGCGCATGCGTCTCTCAGGACGTCTCGAGACAGCCCCCAACCTGATGATACAAAATGGCCGCCGGGATGTATGTGGCGCTGACGACTCGCGGAAAATAGGCGCGGCATTGCCTCATTGCGCACGCCGGTTTTCCCCAGCGAGACGTCGCGAGAATTCCAGGTCGGAGCTCTCGCGGGATTTCGCTGACTAGTTCTCGCGGGAGCGGGCGCGCGTTGGTCCCGTGTCTCGTGCGCGGCTCTGCCATGGCTGCGGCTCTGATGGCGACGAGGCAGCTGTGGAGAGCGGCCCTGCTCGCGCCCCGTCCGGTGAGCAGGGGCGCGCGCGGGGGGGGGCCTTCGGCGGGAGGACTGGCCGGCGGGCTCGGCTCAAGCCGCGGGGGAGGCTCCTGATTGGATGAGAGGGAGTGGAACGGCGGGGCAGGGTGCCGCATCGGTCTCCTCATTGGACAGGACACCGGAGGAGGGCGGGACAAATCAGGAGTCGAGGCTATGATTGGCTGCG